ATCAAGGAAGAATATGGAATATGCAGGATTAAAATACCGTGAAAAAGGAAGTGCCACAAAAGCGGGAACAGATTCCTCGCACATATCCTTCATGAGCCTGAACTGTCCTCAAACACTCCCGCTTAGGAAGGTTCCACACTTTCACCTGTAAGAATCACGAATCCACGCATTCATCCATACTAAATCTAGAAGGCCATTTGCACACTCCTTTGACATATTGGGAAAAATAACTGCAAAACGGAAGTTCATTAACTGTGTCCTTTGTCTTATTGTTTACAGTATTGTTGTATGTTGGGTGTGCATGTTGTTCTTATATGTAAACATAACAGTGACTGCGCATGCTCAATACAAGAGCCTAAATGAGCTCCTAAAAGAGCCATGATACTCAAACAGCATGGTAAAGGCTTTAAAGTGTTACCTCCCCATCGCAGGCACCAGAGATGATTGTTGACAGGCTTTTGGCGTGTTTGGTGATGCAGCTGATGCCATCTCTGTGTCCATCTAAGTTAGTGAAGCTACAAAGGGTTTGGCAAACACCCTCTCCAGTTTAGTGGCATTTAGGGCCCTGGTGTATTCTCTGGGCACTTCAAAAGGATGCAGGGTCGGGTCATAATTCCTTGGCACTAGATAGGGAACACATTACAGTTGCTATACATCAGAAGGAGAAGGAGCGATTATTATTCTTTACTTTACTTTACTTTACTTTTAGTCATTTAGCAGACGCTTTTATCCAAAGCGACTTACAAATAAGAAAAAGTAATTAAAACTAAAAGCTAAAACTCTATAAATACTATATATATACACACATTTAAGAAAATAAAAGAAATTAAATTATTCGTGTACTGTTACTTAACAATTTTCATTTTCACAGAAGTTAATGTATTTACTTATATAATATTTTATACAATATATTTAAATGTTTAACAGAAGTATATATTTATTGTTTTTGAAAGCGAAATCAAGCTCTGTAAGAACCTCTAAAATGAGTAATTTCTGACGTCTAAGAATAAAATTAACGTATTATATATTTTATTCAATGAATTAAAATACTATTTTTTTCTCAATATCCTGGTGTAAAAATTATTCGTTTGTTCACGCTAGAGCCGTAGAGACGGCTACTGGTTCACGCAAACGGCGTTGTCACGTGGTGCCTGATACTTTTCTCAGCGTTGTAACAGGATGGATATACACACATTTAAGAAAATAAAAGAAATTAAATTATTCGTGTACTGTTACTTAACAATTTTCATTTTCACAGAAGTTAATGTATTTACTTATATAATATTTTATACAATATATTTAAATGTTTAACAGAAGTATATATTTATTGTTTTTGAAAGCGAAATCAAGCTCTGTAAGAACCTCTAAAATGAGTAATTTCTGACGTCTAAGAATAAAATTAACGTATTATATATTTTATTCAATGAATTAAAATACAAATTTTTTCTCAATATCCTGGTGTAAAAATTATTCCGTTTGTTCACGCTAGAGCCGTAGAGAGACGGCTACTGGTTCACGCAAACGGCGTTGTCACGTGGTGCCTGATACTTTTCTCAGCGTTGTAACAGGATGGACCAATCACAGACGTTGCTGGAGATATAACCGTTTTAAAAATGTGGTTCTTACAAGACTAGTTTAATTTTTGTGTAGCAGATTTAAATCGCGATAAACGATTGTTCTTCTTTGCATACAAATGTCTCTAATAAGGCAAAAATCGGATGCTGCTCAAAGAAAGACAGACTGGGCTTTTTTGAGACACAATACGCCCCCTAGAGCCATAAAAGTTTATTGCTCAGTGGATTCAGTAGCGCTGTCTTCCAATGATAGGATATTGCGTTTTTAAATACGAACGAATAAACGAAATTGTTGCTTTTTTTTAAATTGGATTTCTTCACATTTCTGTCATTGCTGTGGCGATCACGTGTTACACTGTGTTTCATGAGTGTGTGTCTGTGTGAGGAGAGCAGTAGTGAGTCACGCGCGTGTTTTTAACATGATGGAGATTCTGGGCAGCACTTTTGATGATTCTGTGTTCGAGGAATCAAGGAACAGAGTCTCCGGTGCTCTTCCCGCATACGAGCCCAAACTCTGCGAACCTCTGGTGGGTAGTATCACACTCAACACTTACCACAAACTACCGATACCATGGTACGGAAATGGCACGTATATTTACTCAGTATTTACATACCTAACGTTACTTTCACTTCAAAGAAAAGCATATGGCATTACTACGTTAGTGATGGCAGCAGATGCTAATACCATAATACTTCTTAGTGTAACAGTATTTACTTGAGAATACAGTGTATGTTTTAGTCAGTGATATTTGATCACTTTGTAATCATAAATTATGTAGTTAACATACTATATACTTAGGTTATAATTATATATAATTGATGATAATTAAATGTCTTATAACGTATAATTATGTTTCTGCCCGGTTCACACGGTGTGAAAATGACATTTATAATAACTGAATGAATGAATAAATAAATAAAATCCTTCACCAACAAACAACTTAAGTGCCTTTTAAAGAATTAAATAACCAAGAATTACAGTGGTGGCCAAAATTATTAGAACACTAGTATTTTCACCAGCTAAAGATGGTTTTAAGTCAGTTATTTACATCTTTTGCTGTAGTGTGTCAGTAGGCATTATCAGTTTATATTTCCAAATATTCATTTTGCTCCGTCTCCAAGATGCTTCAATAACCTACCTGCTTGGAAAACTATGCGCAAGTGCACCTCGGGCAAAAGCTGCTTTAAACGCAAAGGATGGTAGGTTTCTTGAAGCATCTTGGAGACGTTGCCACAGTTACACTGGATTGAGTCTGTCTCAGTTTGTTCTGTTTCTTCATGTCATTCCAGACAGACTGGATGATGATCAGATCAGATCTCTGTGTGGAGCACTGGCTGTAGTCAGACAAAAAATTCACAGGATTATTACAATTAATGGCCAAATGAATGCTTTGGAAATGTAAACTGATATTTCCTACTGACACACTACAGCAAAAGACAGAAATAGCTGACTTAAAACCTTTTTTAGCAGGTGAAAATACTAGTGTTCTAATAATTTTGGCCACCACTGTAAATAAATAACGTCTTCTGGCATGTCATATTTTTCCTTTGTTTTATTCTATCTAGTGGTTTTGTGAAGATGGAAATGTTGAGGACCCATTAGAAGAACAAAAAACCCTGAAGTTTCGAGGAGATCTGGCCTACAGGAGGAAACAGTTTCAGGTATAAAGAGCTGAATTCACCATTATTTCTCACTGTTATCTGATTCATAAGCTGATTTGTGAGTTATGTCAATGACAGGCAGCTCTGGATGAGTATAGATTCTGCCTCTCTCTCATACCTGCTGGAAACATATCGGTGAAGAGAGATGTGCTGGAAGGGATCGCACGATGCTGCTGTCACCTGGGCAAAAAAGAAGAGGCTCTAAATGCCTGTGAGAAACTGGTAAATATAGTAAATTACTAACTCCAACAACTTGTATGTATGCTTTTGCTGAGGTACTGGTTTATTGACAGAGGACAGAAGTATCCAACACCTGCCACCTCACCTGTGTCCTTCAGCTGGAGCTGAGTGTTCATGAACACTGCAGAGATCTGACAAACAGCATCTCCAGCCTGCAGCAGCTGTGCTGTCTTCATCCCTACCATCCCTGGTACTGGCTGAATCTGGCCATGAGCTTTCAGAGGCTCCTGGAGTCTGATGGCTGTCCAGACAGATGCTGCACTGAGGAAGAACACGACCAGCAGCAGGGGACAAGTAACATTTTACAATTAAAGACCATCATGTGCTTGATAAGAACAAGGTATGTCAGCCACAAGAGCCACTAGCTGTTTATTTATCGACTTTAACATTAACAGATGAATTCAGCGCTGGGTTTGTTCATCTTGTTTGTTCATTTTTTCAGGTTGCTAATTGAAATCCTGCAGATTCAGCAGTTCTCATTCGTGCTGGAGAACAGCCAGAGGGCCTTACAAGACATTGAGGAAGCTCTGCATGTTCTACAGCCAACAGAAAAAATGCTTCAGACAGTCTCCGAGGTCAGACAATATTATATATGGAAAAAAACAAAAACAACGGCCAACAGAAAAAATGCTTCAGACAGTCTCTGAGGTCAGACAATATTATATATGGGGAAAAAAATAAATAAAAAAATATATATACTGTATATATCATGAGATTAATTCACTATTACCATAAAGCCAATTATTTCATAATGTACTGTCTTTATAATTTAAGGATTTTAAGTGTCACTCAAAAGGGGGTCATCAGCACCAAAAAGCTTTAAAAACCCCTCACTTTTATTGATCTTTCAATTAAGAACTGTTTGTGTAATCAGTATTTAAAGGAATAGTTCACCCAAAATGGAAAATTCTGTAATCATTTACTCTGATGTCATTGCAAACTCAGAAGACTTGTAAAATAGTGTCTACACAATTTTTGTCTTTTTGAAGCTTGCTAGAAAGTCATACAGGTTTGAAACCCGTATGAGGGTGAGAAAATACATTTTTGGATTGAGTATTCCTTTGCAATGTGAATTCAACTCATTGTTGTGCATCAAAGAAAGCTAGTTTATTCTCTAAATGTATACATAACAGAATTGCAGATCTCTTACACAACTCTCCCAAACATTTGTAATGAACATTCATGGTCTCACATTAGAAACTGATTTCTTTTATTCTGATCTAGGTGATGGCAGAAGACCTCAATCCAGAGAAGATGAGAGAGGAAAACCAAGATGGAGAGAGTTTATCAGGACTTTATATTAAAGAATTTGATGACAGGTGGTGGAACAAACTCCGCACTAAAATGCAGGAGGATACTCTTTATCTTTATCCATGCACAGATCTCTGGAGGAGACAAAAATGTACTTTTATAAATTAATGTGGATCTCTTATTGGTGCTTTTACTGTCACATAGCAGAATAAAGTTGAATGTGTTAAAATAAATAAAGTTTCTACATCTACTAATACAATCTACCAACTAAAGCATTAAAATAACCTGCTCTAGCACCAGTGGGAAGTTGCAGGAACACCTCTGTTGATGTGATTGCCCTGTATTGGGCGCCAAGGTTGGCTCCTCGTATTATAATCTTTGAAAAGAGGGGGCTGATAAGCAATGGGGTGATGGATCGTGTTCCTCCGTGGAAGCCATTGAGACCTTTGCGGTCCAGTGGTGACGTTTGGATAGCTGGTTTGTCTGACCAGGGCAGGAGCTGTCGGGAAACTCGGGTTCCTGGGTTTACGAGGTTTCTGTTGTAGGTGGTCGGGAGTGTTTCCAGCAATTCCTGCCGGGCGCATTGGGATCTGGAGTTTCTCAAAGGGTAGGCAGAGATCACCAAGATCTGATGTGTGGCAGGTAAATCCTGGGATAGGTTTAGAAATTGCATAGAGTCTGCGAAACTCCAGGTCGAAAGGTTTAACCCCGCTGCCTTTGAAGAGTACGGCCAAGCTTCTGTGAACCTGCCAGGACAGCCAGGTGAGACTGCGACAGAGTGAAAGAGTCATCATGGAATAAGTCACAACAAGCAGGTAAAGTTTCTGCATCGCTAGCAGCAACAAATGAAAGAGCGATGTGCTTTAGCGGCCCAGATGGACCAGCTAATGCTGAAGAAATTAAACATTTCACCGTTAAAATTGTAAAGAGGTGATACTGAAAAGAAAGAAACTAATGAAAATACTGATTTCTATCAAAACCAGGATTTTAGGTTAAAATTGATAACTTGTATCTTTAATCTTAAATTTCGCAAAAAATGAATGTCCTCAAAGATGAAGTTTCAGATGGTACCTGTAAGAGCCGACCAGCACTTTTGTGCAGTCCACAATGATGAATTTCTCTTTCATCTGTCCAGTGAACTTTCTGCCCGATTTGGCACAGTATGTTTCACCTTGAACACTACGAATGGACATTCTCTGTATGAAGAGAAAGATAAACAAGCACATTGTCAATAAAGAATTCATCCACGTTTTTCATTTCGTAATATAATTGAACTAAATAAAAAAAGCATGTTACATATTGAAATTACATTTATTATATAAACCAACGGTGTCTATTAAATGTAAATCTGAGGTCTGCAATCCCTAAATATCTTTTGCCAGCAGCAACACATTTCATGTATTGTAAGTAAGGTCAGTTAAAAGAATAGTATAACTTACAGTAAGATGAGACTTGTTGATTTTTAAATTTTCACACATGTCCTGAAACAGCTGTAAATTGGTGTGGTCCAGAAGGAGATAGACGGACACATTGCGCTTTCTTATCACCTCCAGTATGTCACAGAAAATCTCCACATCGCTGAATGTGTCCATAACTATCGCCAAAACCTTTGATGAGTGTAATTTAGGCAAAAGTTACATTAAAAATTGTTTTAGACCACTGCACATTCAAAAATGTCAGGCATTTTCCATAAATAGAGTACAAAATAGGACCTGAAAATTTGACCTTTTTTTTTTTTTCTTTTTCATTTTCAACAAAGGAGGTGCTTAAGCTTTAGAAAATATCAGCTTCAGAATTTCAGGGGCTTAACTGAACAAACAAACGAACAAATAAAGTTTGAATTTGTTTCATTTTTTTCAACCATGTTATCAAAACTTTGGACAAATACATTTTAAAAGTCTTAGTTGTGTTTGTAGAGCAACCAATTTCTAAAAACAAAACAGAAATAATTACTTTTTTCACCCCAAGTTAAATTATAATTGAACTGAACTGAGCTGGATAATGACACTATTGCACTCAGCATTGTAAAAAAAAAAAAAAACTGGGATTTACTTGGAAAATTTTCACAAATAATTACAAAGCAACATAACACATTGGTAACACATTGAACAAATTATATGTGAAATTTGACTTAATAAAAATAAATTATTATGCCAGAAAATAGTTTGATGGCAAACATGTTTAATTTGTGCCACTAATACTTAAAAGGGTCATATGATGCTATTTTAAAGATCATTATTTTGTGTATTCGGGTGTAACAGAATATGTTGACATGCTTTAATGTAAAAAAAAGGCAACAAATCGACCTTCCTTTAGCAACTTCCCCTGAAAATTAGTTGGCAACACTGGTCGGAAATGTAACAATCGCAGCTTCAGCTTTCAACATAAAAAAGACAGTACATAATGTCCTTAGTTTTTTCATCAGTTCAAGCCCGAAAGTGGAATAGAGTCGCGTGACAGACACAGTGATGATACTCATATGTATTTGCAGTACACAAGCCGCGCGATTAAGAAAGCTGACTCCACTGTGACGTGACCCTGTCTCTCTCTCTCACGCACTCACACACACACACATGACGCGATACTCTACACGGTGCAAAACTCTGCATTTGAACAGTCAATAGCAAATACTTAAATTATTAAGAAAACATACTTACAGTAGCTGATTCAGAATAAGCGCCAGATTGTCATAGCAAAGTCGGATTTGACCCTTTTTTTTATAGAAATAGCCTTTGCACAGCCAGCTTTGTAGCCTACTCTCATAGGTTCACAAAACTGTCGTCCATAAAATGCGTTGCCCAAATTCGAACATCTGGGTTGTGCTGTTCTGTTGTAAATAAATCTTAACCAATGATTCCTAATTGCATCTACTTTCTGAAAGCCAAATAAAGTGCTTTTGCTATCGCACAGAAACACACAGCGTCTCCCTGACATGGCTGCATCAACACTACTGCTGTTCCTGAAACCACGCCTTCTTTCTTTGCATGAACATTTGGGTGGTATTACGCAAATATTTCCACATCGTGACGTAGAGATGTGGGGGCGTGTTTGAATGAGGCGTTTTAGCCCGGTCTGGATCAGCCTTCTCTGTTAGATAGAATAAATCCTTTTGTGGGAGACTTTGAGCTTTGTAACTCTGCAGATCTTATACATGCACAAATAGCTACATAACACACTAAAAAAAAGGAAAAATAGAAATCGCATCATATGACCCCTTTAAAAAAAAAGTTGTACACCTAAGTGTACCGTATTCATGGAAAGTGCTGTTTGTAATTGCAGCATACATCTTCCTTGCATCACAAAAGTGATATTCGAAAAAATAATGGCAGTACACAATTCAAAAATGTTACTAACAAATGACAGGTTCTTACTTTAGTTGCTTGCCTGATGAGTTCCCGCAGCAGGTCTTTCATGGAAAATGATTTCATTGAGTGGAAGAACACTTCCACACTGGGAATCCCTTGCAGATGGTAACTCCAGTCAGCCACCGGCCAGCCGTAGTCAAGAACTGGAGGCTCACTCTCTGTGACCGCAGGAAAGTATGTCTCAGAAGAAACTGCTGGAGAACCGGACATCTCTTCATCCCTGTCTGTCTCTTCATTGTCAGTGAGAGGCTTTTTAATGTTGTTTAAGATGTATGTTTTCTCCTCCGCTGACAGAAAGTTTGCTTCATTCTCTTTGTTCAGCACTTCCTGGTATCCATCAATCCCTCTATCCAAGAGAGCATCCATAGCCAGTCGTGTGCTCTCGTTGTAACTCAGATCTACTGAAGACACCATAGTGTTTGGGTTTCTCATCTCCTGAACTCTTCTTCTCATTTTTCCTATCAGCTTTGGCATCAAGTAACACTGCACTGACAATCCATTACTTACAAGGTTCATGTTGTTTGGATACAAGTCCTCAGCTGACAGATGACTGGTTGACTCTTGCTCATTCAGCTTTCATATTTAGTCGTCTTTCACGCTTAAAGCCAAATGATTATCCATACAAACATGGTGTGGTGCTACAGTTAACGTCCCCAAGGTGATCATCATCAAATGCTAACAAATAATGCTGCGAGATATTCATGCACCATGCATCTTTTCATCAGCAGTGCAAGCGTTTCATGGCACACTGAGCATTTCTGAACCAATTTGTCAAGTTTTCATGATGGGTGAGTTGAAAATTGAATGTTAGTGCTGCCCTATGGCTCTGGTGAAAGTAGTTTGTGGCTCCTCCTCGCACTAAGAGGAGTACCTAGCGTTCACAGACGGATTCACCCCCAGGCATCGGTGGGTGGGGTCCTGTGGTTAGCAGGTGAGGTGTTGAGTGAATAATGAGACTGAAGCTCCCACGTTTTCCATCACAGAAATGAAATGGCGTGAGTGGCAGGGATGAAGATGTGGACGTCAGATTCATTTCACTCATGCATCACTAGGAACCAATAGACCTGTTCCTGTGTCCTGACACACCTGCTTAATGTAAGCTCTTAATGGCTTTGTAGACTACATGTGGTAGTGAAAGTTTTTGTTATTTGGTAATTTAATAAGTCATAATAAACCTCAAACCCCAAGTATAAACCTAAGCATACATTTTCCCACACCATTTGTGCTACATACATAATTGATACACCAAGCCATGCAGCTTATTGAAGAAAGAGGCATTATTATTTTTCTAAGTGACCAGATATGCGGTTGAAATGAAATATAAAACAGACAAAACAGACCCGAATATCATAGAGACTTTTGATTTTGGCCAATAAACAACCACCCAGATCACCCTAGCAACCACAAACAGTAGCAACTCATTAAAAAACTCGACTGCACAACAACAATCTAGCAACCACCCATAACACCCTAACATTGTGGTGGCAGGTTTTGCATGGGCAAACACCACTTATTGCATCAGAAAATGTAAATATCAAGTTGAAATTATTGGCTTATGCAACACATGAAAATATGGATATTGTCAACCAGTATCATAAACAGAGAAGACGAAATACCATACACTATCATAGCTTGCAACGAGTTACAATATTTAGACTTTCACCTAATTGCATTAAAGGGGTCATATGATAGCACTTTATTTGACCTTCCGAAAGTAGATGCAATGAGGAATGTAGAGTATCCTGTCGTGTGTGTGTGTGTTCGTGAGAGAGAGACAGGGTCACATCACAGTGGAGTCAGCTTTCTTAATCGCGGCTTGTGTACTGCAAATACATACGAGCATCATCACTGTGTCTGTTTCCCTTTCGGGCTTGAACTGATGGTAAAACTAAGCACATTATTGTACTGTCTTTACATTTATGATGAAAGCTGAAGCTCGCGATTACGGAAAGGGGCGTTACATTTCCGACGCGTGCTTGTGGTGTTCGGCCAATCACAATGCACTGGGTCAGCTGGCCAATCAGAGCAGACTGTGCTTGTCGGAAGGAGGGGCTTTGTAGAAAACGACATGTTTAAGAGAGGCGGGGCATGGAGGAACTACAATAATGTACAGTATTTCTCTGCTGGAGACCCAGTTTACCCAAGACTTCTTCAGCCCATTGCCTCACCTCCACAATGGACTGTTCCTCAATCAAGTCTGCCATGGAAAGCACCAGGTAACATTCTTTCCCTAGGGATGATGCTTGCTGCAACAACTGTATGGCTCCCAATCTAAGCCTCAAAGGAGACACCAGTATGTATACATCACACAAAGAGAGTGCAGATGTTATGCGTTGAGCTTCAGAAGAGCTGGATGCAGAGGACAGGCTGCCAAGATCACCTATTTTTCCAAGCCCAGGAAGGTCCCAAAGGCGGACATTGGGGGAGGCGTAGGGATACTTCACAGACTCTTTGGTTGTTTCAATGACACCGGTTGAGGAAGCTTGCTCATCACCTTTCTCCAGGCCCAAGAGGGCATTGACCACTTGTGGTGTTCGGCCAATCACAATGCACTGGATCAGCTGGCTAATCAGAGCAGACTGCGCTTGTCAAAGGAGGGGCTTTGTAGAAAACGACATGTTTAAGAGAGGCGGGGCATGGAGGAACTACAATAATGTACAGTATTTGAAAAATAATGTGTTTTTTTTAAACATTAAAGCATGTCAACATATTCTGTTACACCAAATACACAAAATAATGATCTTTAAAATAGCATCATATGACCCCTTTAAATGTTGCATGTTTTGCAAATATGGCAGCATGCAGGATTTTGTTCAAAATAAAAAAAGTTAAATGAGTAAATGTAATTAAATTTAGTGTCTAAATAAAATGATTCAGGAAGATACGGTTAGACTGAAAATTTAAAAAGTGAAAAATAATAATAAATGCACATGCAAGGCTTTAGTCACTCGCTAATACATTGCATCTGACTAGGGTGGTTCTCATATAGGGATGAAATATGTTTGGAGAGTGATGAGTAGTTAAACAAACAGAAATCCCTCCCTAAAAAAACTTGATTGTGAGAAAATACCTTTTATAATTCTTGAAAGACTTAACTATTTACATAAATTTGCAAGAATCTGATCTTTTCCAGAAAACATCTCCATCCAGTTGCTTTGCTGCATATCTGGCAAGAGCGACTTTCTCATGACTTGGAAAGGCTGCATTCAACGTCTCCTTTAGCTTGGGTAAGTCCAAGGTTTCTGGATGGTGAGCAGACACCAGAAATAAACTCTGCTGGAGACCCAGTTTACCCAAGACTTCTTCAGCCCATTGCCTCACCTCCACAATGGACTGTTCCTCAATCAAGTCTGCCATGGAAAGCACCAGGTAACATTCTTTCCCTAGGGATGATGCTTGCTGCAACAACTGTATGGCTCCCAATCTAAGCCTCAAAGGAGACACCAGTATGTATACATCACACAAAGAGAGTGCAGATGTTATGCGTTGAGCTTCAGAAGAGCTGGATGCAGAGGACAGGCTGCCAAGATCACCTATTTTTCCAAGCCCAGGAAGGTCCCAAAGGCGGACATTGGGGGAGGCGTAGGGATACTTCACAGACTCTTTGGTTGTTTCAATGACACCGGTTGAGGAAGCTTGCTCATCACCTTTCTCCAGGCCCAAGAGGGCATTGACCAAGCTGGAGCTGCCACAGCCCGTCTCACCCAGCACACCGATATCCAGCCGGAAGTGATCGAGAGCTGCAAGGATGGCCTGAAGCTTGGAAGGATTGTCTGTGAGATCTCTCGGCTGCGAGAGCTTGGTGATCTGATGAAGATCATCCTGGTTTATCTTCTTGGACCGCAAAGCAGTAGAGACCACAAACCTGTGAAGCAAATATAGCGAATTTGTTAGATAAATCTAGATGCTGTAAGAAATTATAGTCTGCCTGACCCATAAAACTTCATGAACAATGGATTTTCGTGATAGTTCATGCTAGTTTTTTATGCCAGTTAGTGCTTGTTAACAACAAGTCTATAAGCTAGTGGACCAACATAGATTTCCTAATGAGAAAAATAACTAGCTAGTTAAGTTAATCAGCCTAGTAGGGACACAAGCGCACTGGCATCCCATGTTGGGGACCAATGTCCAAAACACAACATGGTGTCCAACAACTGAACCCTGATTTTGCAGGGCTATGCATGCTTCTGGGTCAACATCCTTGTTGGTCCTAGAACATCATTACTAACTAATCAGATTTTGGGGTTAGGTTTAGGGCTAACATTAGGGTTAAGGGATTTCTTATCAACCTATCTTTTCCTGCTAGTATAAGGGTTAGATCAGAGTTGTTCAATCCTGCTTTTGAAAGGCCACTGTCCTGCAGAATTTAGTCTCCATCCTAACTAAACAAAATTAAACCAGCTAACCAAGGTCTTCAGGACCTCTTCTAGAAATGTTCAGGCAGGTTTATTGGAGCAGGTTGCAGCTAATCTCTGCAGGACATTGGCCAGGAGCAGGACTGGACACCCCTGGGTTAGGTTATGGTTAGGTTTGGGTTAATGGTAGGGATTGGATTAGAATATTTTTTTTTGACAGTACAGTTGTTGCAGGATCTTGAACACCATTATTATCAGCCCCCAGACGTTTGCCTCTAGTTTAAGGGTTAGGTTAGTTTAGGTTTAGTCTCAGACTCAGACATCATTCCCACAGACAGTTGACTGAACATCTGATGCATATGACACACAAAATTGGATATGCTTCAGGAGTTTCGAAGTCGTCATCGGATTGGTTGAATTATACAGGATTTCCGGGAGAGGATGCGTTCTTTAATATTCCTGGAAACAAAGATGCCATGATGCCAAACCCCCTTTAATGGAAGAAGAAAGCCATCATGTTTACAACTGGGACAATGAGCTCTTGTCATGATCAACTAAACACTGGGTTTTCAAAAGTATGTGAAATATGTAAAGTTTGTAGCATAGACTCTTTAAAATACGTTCAAGAGTTTTACACACTGGTCTGTTATTGCGGGGACATTTCCATGCCCCTAAACATAATGCGGCATAAAATGAAATGTGATTGGTTGTTTTACATGTCAGTCATATGGCCTCTTGGACGGTCCTCGGCCATTCAAAGCGGCCAAGGTTCCCAGACCTGCTGCCATCAGTCTGAAGGTCTGGCTACATGAGACTAGTTTAGGTTAGGTTTTGGATTAGGGGTAGGGACTGGGTTAGAACTTTTTTTTTTACAGGCTTGTTGTTCCAGGACCTTGTACACTATCACTATGAACCCATTTTTTGCCTCTAGTTTAAGGGTAATGTTATGGTTTGGTTTGGATTACATATACAGATTGGGTTAGAACTTGACCAACAAACATGTTGACCCCAGAACTCCCGACATGTGTAACCAGCCATAGTTGTTATTTCAGTGAGGTTCAAATGGAAATCAAGTCTGTGTCACAAGGTAATATCAAGCATTTCAAAACACAATGGAGTTGACTTACTGTGTGTCATCAGTCAGTAATTTAGGAATCCGAAGTTCCTTTGTAATCGCCACCAGAAACTGACTAAAAGCCTTCTTCCGAAGCTCAGGCAGGGCTTCAGCAAGCACCTTGGTGATATCCTTCATCTTCACTAACTCTGGATCTTGGGAAGCATTTGAAGGATTCTGGCTGTCTGCTTCTGAATCAGCCGTCTCTCCAAATACTTCTTTACTTCTCTTCTGCAGCTCCAGCTTGCGAGCTCTCATTCGTTCCCAGGCGCAGGTCATGCACGGCCCTGTAGGCTTCTCCTCGACCACGTCCCAGTCCCGCTCAGCTTGAACCAGAAAAAAAGGCTGATCTCTGCCATGCAATTCCATTTTGAGCCACATGTGGTCCTCCTTGTGTTGTTCTGTAGTGAGAACCACCAGAACGTCATAGCATGTGGAGTCATACTGCTGGTTGGTCTGGTTCATGATGGAATTTGAAGTCGGATGGCCCTGCACGGTCCACACACGAACATTTGGGATTTGACGGTGTAAAATCACAGAGTCAAAATCAGGAACACCACTCCCTATATATTCTGCATGCTCTGCTATCCGAACATGTTTCCTACTACTGCGGCGGTGATTAGTATTTAACTTAGACTTTATACTGTGTTCCTCATCTGCACTTCCATCTTCTTCACAGTCTTCTGATTCTTCTTCCTCATCTGTTTCTTCCTCCTCATCACCTTCATCATCAGTTTCCCATTCCTCCTCTTCTATTTCCTCACCCGGCCCACAGATTGCAGAAGCCAGCTGAGCATTAGCCTCCGGTGTTCCTCCGGTCACAGCTATATCTAAAGGGAAACGTTCAAACAGTTGTAGAGCAGTCACCAGCCTGTTTTCAAATCCAGGTGCCCTGATGGAAAACCTCCAAGGGGCAAGCATACATTTCACTTTTTCGTCCGAAAGTTTTTCTTCCATCTTCAGCTGTACCCTGAAACGAACAAAAAAAAAAATTTAATAATATAGCTTACACTAGCTACCTACTGCTAACACCAATGGTATACAGGCCTAATGACTGAATTTGACAGTGTTCACAGATAAAATATGGTCAACAGAACATGATACAATAATCAACTTTCACCGTTTCTGAACAACAAATAAGCTGCAAAAGTGCGTCCTCCGTCCTTAAGTTCTCCTGAACGAGTGTGTTTGCGGGACAGTCAGCTGTGCTAAAGTCAACACTTTGTTTGACAAGGTTTCCAGATGACATTGTAAACAGTTCGCAGGGCGTTTTAAGTTTGTTAAGCATCATGGTGTACTTAATTCCATTTAACCCATTTATCTCCACAGTTCTTCTTTTAAATAAATTACTCCATTTGTGAAATTCTAATGGAATTTTGTTTGAAAACTAGCATAAAGAAGAGTTTCAGGAGAGGAAGAATTCACATCCACACCACAAGTTTTTATAACTGTACATATTATATTTCACAACCAAATTTAAATATTAACTGTACACTCTAAAAAATGCTGGGTTAAATACAACCCAGTGCTGGGTAAAATAGGGACAAACCCAGCAATTGGGCTGTTTTGACCCAGTGGTTGGGTTAAATGTTTAACCCAACCTTCTGGGTAGTAACCCAACCGCTGGGTCAAAACAACCCAATTGCTGGGTTTGTCCCCATTTTACCCAGCATTGGGTTGTATTTAACCCAGCAATTTTTAGAGTGTATTTTTACAGTATTGCAGATTTTTTAAACATTTTTTTAAATTGTGAGTGATGCTTGTCCATGCAAAGATTCCCACCAAATTACGTTTTTTAATTAAGTGTTTTCAAGCACATTGCTATGTGGCTGCCAAAGTGTTTAAAGCATTTTAGCACATTGTTAAATAGATACTAAGGTGTCTTGAGTATTTTTAGTATGATGCTATGTGCATTTCTGGATGGTTTCTTACTGGCCCAAGTCAAATGGGATCATTATCAAGTCTTAATCATGCTTTGGTTCATTAGATGACTTGGATTTGTTCAACGCTAAGTATGAGAAACAGTTACAGTGATGCTTACCTTAGTCATTACTACAAATAATAAGGAAAATAATGTGGTATTTATGAATGCACATTATATGTAGCTGTATATGGTGTGAGTGTCCAGCAGAGGACAGGATTTCTCCCTAAACACAAGAGCAACCTGTAAGTTTAGATGTAATACAAAAATAGTACTCCTAATAGTACTCCTTTATAAATATTTTTAACAATGTATTTAATAAAGTATATAAAGCCACATCAGTATGTGGATCTCTACAGACATGACTTAATAAATACTTTTTATATATAAATCCTACATTGAGTGGCTTGGACTACTATTTTTATATTAAATTAAATATCCTTTATCAAAAGAGAACCAGTAGGTATCACTTCACACCAAGTAACAGTATTTGCAAACTTTGTTCACATGTACATTTAAATGTTCTGGAAATAGCAGTGGCAGCTGTCACCGTTTTCTTTCATGTATACACTCCTAGATTCATTTCGTAATCATTTCAATAAAATGTCATAGGGAATAACTGAAAGTACTTGGTGGTGAAAACAAAGGGAGTGAAGTTGCCCATCCCATCTCATGCGGCCTGTATAACCAAAAAAAAAAAAAATGATGACAAACAGGTTTGACGTCATGAAAGTGTCCACAAAAGTAAATGAACCGAATACAAGCAGGTAGAGGGAAAGCAGGTGCAATCTCAGACTGGAACAGGTGGGTCCCTGAGCAGCTACTGATTTCTATTTGTTTATTTTTCGAACAGCATTTTAGTCCACTTTGCTTTGTTTGTTTTTGGAATTATTATCTTTATTATCTATTGTAATCTATATTTTTTCGATGATATAGTCCATAATCAGTGTTTAAGAACTTTCCTACCATTTAGATTGATTTTTAGCATTGTGATTTTTACTAAAAACAAAAAAAAAAAAAAAAATGATGACAAACAGGTTTGACGTCATGAAAGTGTCCACAAAAGTAAATGAACCGAATACAAGCAGGTAGAGGGAAAGCAGGTGCAATCTCAGACTGGAACAGGTGGGTCCCTGAGCAGCTACTGATTTCTATTTGTTTATTTTTCGAACAGCATTTTAGTCCACTTTGCTTTGTTTGTTTTTGGAATTATTATCTTTATTATCTATTGTAATCTATATTTTTTCGATGATATAGTCCATAATCAGTGTTTAAGAACTTTCCTACCATTTAGATTGATTTTTAGCATTGTGATTTTTAAAAAAATTAGTTTATGCTCTGAAAAAATGTATGTAAAGGCTTTTTAGTCATCATGGTAATAACAGTATTCTCTGAAGTAAATAGCATGGTATATGAATATGGAATTGCCATTGTATTTGATACCATCAGTGTACCATCGTACATTGAAAATACTTTATTTAATAATTCTAGTTATGCTCAAATACTTTCTAACTAGAAGTAAAACTAAAGTTTTTCAAGAGAACTCAATCGATAACTTTTTGGCAGCTTTGATCAGTGGTACATTTTTAGGCCAAACCTCAGTGACAACGGATCAGGCCGTTGCCTTATAAATAATCTTGAGTATTTTCCCTTCTGCTGGATATTCTGATCATTATTTTATTTTTCTTCAGAAAAGTGTGACGAGGCCAGACAGAAAAACACACTACAGCCATGGGAGCAGGATCCTTGACATGTTTGATGTTTGTAGTTGTTGCTCTGAATGCAATCGCTGCTGTAAGTCTGAAACAAAAAAATACAAAGATTGTTTATGTTGTGAAATGTCACATATTCCCTCTTTTTTTAATTTTTATTAATAGATATATACACATTAAAAAAGTTGTCACTTACTACTTTTTTATGTATTTTCCCCTTTCAGGCAGCAGGACTGGCATTATTCGCAGTGGCTATTTGGGTAGCAGCAGATGGGTATAAGCTCTACCCCATATCTGGTGTGTCGGGAAAAGATGACATATTTGCTGGGGCCTGGATTGCCATTTTTACAGGCTTTGCCTTCTTCCTCACATGCATCTTTGGCATCTTTGCCGCCCTGAAAAGGAGCCGTGCACTCATGCTGGTGGTAGGTTTTCATAGAAGACTATGTCATATCTCATATCTTACATGAATCACTATTATTCAATATTACCTTTAGCGAGACAATCAAATTTAGGTTTAAAATAAACAATCACTTTAATTTTGAACTAATTATCATCAACTGTCATCCTTCTACAGTACCTTATCATAATGTTCATCATCTTTCTGTTTGAATGCGCATCTGCCATCACAGCAGCAACCAACCGGGATTATGTGAGTACCGTCACCAGCCTCTCTGTACTGTAAAAGTAAAATAGAATGACAAAATACACATCAGAGACGCTAGGCCCACAGGCATCTAGTTGTGGCCCATTCCTGCTCTCTCTTTCTATATTTTTCTGTTGTTTATATACTGTCCTATGTAGCGAATCAGCTCATGGGGAAATATGAATAATTAATCATAACTAGTTATAATTAATTATAAATATTTAGATCCGCTGTAGATATTTACTTGACCTCTCAGGGTCAACTGTCTGTCAATTCTAAGAACGTTAATTTCCTGGTTAAGGGAAATAACTTTCTTACTGTACAACTCTACACAGAGCCTGCAGCATAAATCTGCATGATTAGGGACGCCAGTTATGAGTAAACAATGAACAACGTCAAGTGTGATACAAATAAGACTTTATTAACTACATAAGGTGTCGTGGTTGCCATGGGGACCAGGGGGGGCCTGGTGTCGTTGCAGACATCCTGGCACCCAGTTTATTGGGTGAGGGGACTGTGACGATTTGTTAATCTAATGAATAACTGATTTGTTAAATCAAATGAAAAATTGTGTGTTTGATTGGTCCAGACGCTACACCTATAAATTACAGTCTATAATCATATGTAATGGAACAGCAGCAAGTTTATAATGGAGAGAAAGTTGGTCTTTTCTTCATTTTTTAAATCCTCTTTCCTTTATTATAGCTGGTTGGGAACAGTAACTTTGTAAAGAAACAGATGCTGCAATATTATGGGCAAGAGAGCACACAAGGAAAGCAGATTACACAGACATGGAACAGAGTGATGGAACAGGTAAGCTGAACACCAATGACGACCTCTTGGCTTTTATCGAACACAAATGCCTTACACCTGTCCAAGGATTGTGGCTAAAACGTAAGATATACACTTGCATAATATTAGGAAAGAAAAACCTTAATTTTCAACTCAGACTTGACACAACATGCTTTTCTGTTGCCTTGTGAGAGTGGCAAAAAGTTAATTGTTGTAAATAGTATAGTGATGTATGACAAACCAAGCAAGCAACAATCTGTTAGTCAACATGGTGGATAGATAGATAGATGGATAGATGGATAGATAGATTTTGAATTGTGAAAACGCAAACAGAAATGGCGAGGGGAAATCTTTCACCCTTAAATGAACTTTCCGACCGGGTATATATTCCTACCCTTACCAAAAAGAAGTATACTTCAAGTTTATTTTATTAAGTATACTTAAGTAAAGTTCAAGTATATTTTTAAGTACACTTTATGTAGTAAGTATACAAATATCAGTGTACTAGTAGTATACTTGTAAGTGTACTATTTCAATACTCCTTGGGACTAAATTGGCCCTCTTTCTAGTACTTTTAAGTATACTTTAAGTATAACAATAGTATAAACTAGAGTACACAACTAGTTTACATCTATGTTTTTAGTTTGTACTCAACTATACTAAAGGTGAACTTATAGGTATACTGAGCTTTAATCGCATTAAATATAAATTTAAAATATAATACACTTTCATTAAATAACAATCAACATGCAGTAAAGTGTCTGAAAACACTACATTCAGTTCACACTTAAGTAGATCATATCTGTAATAAGTACTCTTTTTAAAAGTATGCTAAATTGCACATATTTTTCACAAGGGTACCTTAAAAAAAAAAAAAAAATTTTAAAAAAAAAAAAAAAAAAAAAAAAAAAGACTATGAATTGGATTCAGAATGATAATAAAAACGTAGATGAGCCGATCAACACCCCAAAGCTTGACAGTCATTACCTCTTCTTGGGTTGACATTTTATTCCACGAGGTTACACAGTTTTGATGCCGTTTTATGTCTGATCGTGTTAGATTACATGTGGAAGCATCTGTTGTTTTGGTTTCTTCTTCGCTTGTGTTTTGGAAATTCTGTACAGAAGATGTGTAATAGCGCCAGTCTACCGTATAATAATGAAAAAAATGGATTCCCGAAGCACAAGTATAGCTCAAATATATTTAGACTTTTTCTAAATATATAAGTATAAATGTCATTTTAAGCATATTTCTGAGAAGTACATAAAGCACATTTCTGAGAAGTACATAAAAAGTAGACTGAAAGTATACTTTCCTATTTTATAGTTTAAAAGAAGTATACTAAAAATACACTATAATAAACTTCTTTTTCGTAAGGGTATTTAATTGACTGGATTCCGCCCGCGAAAATTCGTCGAACAATTCTTTGAATTCAAAGTTCACACAACTTGACGGATTCATACAGAATTCTGCAAGTGAAGCGCACTTCAGGTTTCCAAGCATCACAACAACTTGGTAGATTAATATAGAATTCAACTGATGTACATGTGACTGGTATTTTCTCTTTACTATATTGAGATTGATTGATTAATCGTACCTTTCTCCTCCATCAGGTCGAGTGCTGTGGAGCAGACGGTCCACAAGACTGGATAATGTATAACTCCACCTTGAAACAGATGTATCCTACATACAACTGGCCCCTCAGCTGCTGCAAGAGACTGAGTACCTTTGATTTGCAAGATCCAGCAGACTGTAAGCTTGGCCGGACCGGCATCCTATTCACAAAGGTAACTTAACGTTTAAGCCTCGTAACGTCACCTGACGTACAGAAGACAAGAGACAGCAACAAACTAATTACTTGGAGTTAGTTTTCATAGACAGTAGTTCTCAACTGGTGTCACAAAACAAAGTGGTCTGTTCTGATAGGGATAATTTGAATACAAATAATTTTAAAATGCAAATAATTTAATATAAATTTTGACAGTAAAAAAGAGAAAATCTTTTTTTCTTTCTTATTCACATGAATAATTCTTCATGGCCTAATCAGGTCATGGCAAGATTGATACATTTCTTTCTTGCTTGGTTTTTTTTTCCTTTTTCTTTTTTTTTTTAAGGTGCACAAATTTTAAATTTTTTTTTTTAAGGAGCACAAATTTTAAAGGGGCCCTATTATGCTCTTTTACAAAGTCTTGAGTTTGTTTTGGGGGTGTACTAAAACATGCTCTCATACTTGGTGGTTCGAAAAAACGCATTATTTTTCACATAATTTACATTATTAAAGTACCTTGCTTCCCAGCCTGGCACAAACGGCTCGATTAGTTCCGGGTTTGATGAAGGTCCGCCTTCCGAAAAACGTAATGTGTTGTGATTGGTTAGCTGTCCCAGTGCATTGTGACGGTGTTTCAGTACTGCCACGCCCCTTGCTCCGTCTTTCAACAAAGCTTTTTGGCAAAATACACTCCCTCATGTTGTGGAAGCTGTCCTCAATAAAATGCGCAGCACACAATAGCAAATTGGGGTTATAATGCTCAGGAACAGAGTTAAAAAATAAATTGCAACCAAACGCTGATGTTTTCCTGCTTTTCCTTGCACATATGCACGGTAATAATACTTTCCAAGCAGCAAACATCCTCTACCACAGCTCATTTCCTGTAAACACACAATGCAATGTCTCAGCGTCTTCACAACCAGGAATTCATTACGAACAAACCTGCAGACGCTGCCAGCCTCCGCTATTGCGTGTATGTATTTATGTGTTTGAGAAAGAGAAAGAGTGAGGGAGAGAGAGAGAACATTGTCACACATCTCTTGTCAGAGACAAAGAAAATATAAATATGTAAATTGTATAGTCACAGACATTGCAGATGATTAGGTGTACAGTGTTCTTAAAGAGGAGTTCTCAGTGCCTTCTGCGGTCCTGTCACAGAGTGAAGCGCCTGCTTTGATCACTCGCATCGCTCAAAGTGAAATCTGTCTCTATGACTTACAGTGCTGAGGGAAGGATTAATGATTTCTGCAGATGGAAGACTGAGTTCTGCTCTGTGTGGGTTGCGGGGTTGTGGTGGGGTTTAGGGGGAAAAGGATCGTCGGAAGAGACCAGATGCTCTTTGGAGTAGGAACCTGTCCCAAATGGTGCACTTGAGATCTTGCAATGGCCGTTTGTCATTTTGGTTCTCAGAAGGGTCCTCACAAGCCCCAAATGGATGTGGGGTCCATACCAGACTACTAACCAATAGTCATTACGTAACAAATGTGTGGACTTAAAATATAAGTCTACATTTGGGACAAGGAGTCCACTTTATAGGCTACTCTGAATATTAATCACTGATTGGCTGATGTATCTACACATACACTAGGCCTACCATTCAAAAGTTTGTGGTTGGTAAGATTTTTAAAGGGGTCCTATTATGCTCTTTTACAAAGTCTTGATTTTGTTTTGGGGGTGTACTAGAACATGCTCTCATGCTTGGTGGTTCGAAAAACGCATTATTTTTCACATTATTTACATTATTAAAATACCTTTCTCCCCATCCTGGCACAAACGGCTCGATTAGTTCCGGCTTTGATGAAGGTCCGCCTTCCGAAAAACGTAATGTGTTGTGATTGGTTAGCTGTCCCAGTGCGTTGTGATTGGCGAACAGCTTAGACGGTGTTTCAGTACTGCCATGCCCCTTGCTCCGTCTTTCAACAAAAGCTTTTTGGCGAATCTGGCAGGCACTGTACTCCCTCATGTTGTGGAAGCTGTCCTCAATAAAATGCGCAGCACACAATAACAAATTGGGGTTATAATGCTCAGAACAGAGTTAAAAATAAATTGCAACCACTGTTTCCTGACATCATCCGCATTCGGAAGCCCAAACAAAGACGTTTCAAAGACAAAAACTGTTTCAGGCAGTCGCACACCGGACGAGAAGCGCAGCGTCACGTCACGCCACGTCTTTAAAATTCGAACACATTATTTTTGCACGCACACCAGCGGCGCCGTTCGGCGTCTGTCCGCGGCGCCCAGCTGTGTCGTGTTGTACTTGTTGTAAGAATTGTTCTAGATGCGGCGCTGCGCTTCTCATCCAGTGTGCGACTGCCTTTAGACATGCTGAAAACTTGACGCTACAGCAGCTCTTCTTCTTTGTTTTCTCTGATGCACTAACTCTGCAGCAGCACTTCTTCTTCGTCGTCGTCTTGCCTGATGCACTCAACCAAGTGTTTCAACCACGAACCCTAATTTCTGTAGGCGGGAATTATTTTAATGATGTTCTAATGGGCCGCTTTGTGACATCACAAAGCCCGGAAACCAACGCTGTAGTCCAAACGAGCCGTTTGTTGTAGTTCTTGAAAAGGGATTTTTTAAAAACGAAATATCTCCCTTTGGAGTGGACTTTGAGATTTGTAACTTTGTAGATCTTTTTTATGCCCAAACATACACACTGGCTAAAATGAGAAAAGTGAAAAAGCATAATAGGACCCCTTTAAAACAGTTTCCTGAGAACCACTGTGCAGTAGCACAACTTTGATTCAATTTATGCTTCACTTTATATGTTACTTAATGGTGCTTCTGTCAAATTTTTTATTTTTTTGTATTTTATTGATACTTCAGGGTTGCTTCAACTATATTGAATCTGTGTTAAGCCATTACACCTGGGCTGTGAGCTGGTACGGTTTCTCCGTTCTCATATTAGTGGTAAGTCTAGATGTTTTCTAAATTACCTCTATACATTCACACAGGACGTGTTATTGTGTTTAAAACATCTAGATGGAACAAAATGGTCTTCAGATGCATCTTCAAAGTTCAAGCTACTTTAAAAGCTTGAGAAAAAAAAAAACCTGTCACACCACAAAATGCTGAAAACCAGAATTTACCAGAATTATGCAACAAAGATGCAGTGTGATGCATGTGTACATACACCAATAACCAAAATCAGCACAGAGGGAATGTAAAAATGTGTCCTGATTGTTGACCTTTAAAGCTTTTATATGCATTTATATTAATATTGTTATATATAAGTATTCAAATATGTTTAGTATTCAAAGTACAGTTCTATTATAGAAGAAAAATTCAATTGCACATATATTCACTATTCTGATGCACTTCTGTCCTACAGTTTTTCACATTAGTGATCGCTATGATCTACTTCATGCAGCTGGAATAACTACGGACTCCGCATGATACATCTGCCAACTGAGCAGATGTTTCCACTCTTGCTGTCACGGAACAATACAGATGATTGCACATTGCACATGGATAATTGATATGACAATTTCCATCCATTCTTGTATAATTATCATACATTCAGTTTTAATGGTGTCCTATAATTTGATCTCCAATTAGCACAAAAGGAATGTCCCAGGTTCAGTACAAATTAATCTTGATCAAAAGCATTTATGGTATAATTTACCGCTAGTGAGCATGATCTCATTATGTTAGGGAAGAAAAAATTACATGCCTAAGTAACTAATTCAAGTATAGCTTTCATATTACATGTTGTATTATGGATGTTTTTTTTCTGGGGTCATTTTAAATTTTTATTAACAATATTTATCAAATAGGTTCTTCAAGTGATTGTATGAATTTTCCTTTATGCCACAGTCTACACTTGTATTTCTTCTTACATACATATTTAATATAAAATTTGCTTTAAAATGCCTAAATACCAATGAACAGGACATTTGTTTTGTAAGATTCGTTGCTGCACATTTGTATTTAAAACTTACTTGACAATGTTTGTTTATCAAATAAACATGTGATTGTGCTGATGACTCTTCATGTGTCATTCACTGACCGCAAACCGACAAAACCTGTGGCAGGCTGCATGCTGGTACAAGCCCTGGGAAATAAACAATCCTTAAGAAAGCAAGAACGAAAAAACAACAAAAGCCTGGCAGCTCTCCACTCCCTGAACCACCCAAACCATTACTGCTCTGACTAATTATCTAATGCCAATAGTGTTTGTACATGTATTAGCAAAGAACAAAGGAGGGCATGTTAGCTTGCACATGTCTGCTTTAATTTATACTCAACTGGGAGTGTCGCCTGATCAGAAACAGACTGGTTTTGCAGGATATCCAGCCAGGAAAGACCTCAACTTCTCTCATATTACTGTCTACAAAAAAAAAGGCTCCCATCTCGGAGGGTGGAGACTGCAGCGCTGCAAGCCCTGTGAATTAAAATCATCTAAAAATAACACAAAACCTAGGGGAAAAAACCCCACTTCTTTTAACAGCAAATGCAAAAATTCAGCCTCAGGACATTCGTCCAGGTTTGCCTCATCAACAGGAAGGTTAATCAAGTAAATGTCATCACAATGTTACTTAGCAATGTTAATTTTTCCATTTGAAAACTTCTTGCATTCCAAGGAGATTTCCTGTAATACTTACCGCCCATCATTAAGCTACCTCATCTGACCTGTGTACAAAAATATTATGTTCAAAAATAATCACCCAACTACAGGTTTCGTCACTGACGGTGTCCAAGGTTTTAATTCACATATTTGAAAATATTACAAAATAGGATGAACTGCCTTTCGCCAAGTGGAAAAGGCTGAAGGGGAGATTGTTGGACATGTATATACCTTCAAAGCCACATGCATGACCTCTCTCACTGAAACATACACGCTCACAGGTCTGCTAACATACATAGGTAGCATTAATATTTAGTGTTTTTCAGGAACATATCCCCCTTGGTTATTCCCTGCATAGATATGTATTAAAACAACAGAGATAACAGACATGCAAACACACAGTGTCATATTCTCACTCATACACACCTTTTTCCCCCCCATTTTGAACTTACTAGTGTGGAACTTTGGGAAACTGTAAATAGGGGTAACTGGGCTAGGGACAGGGTTTGTATCTAGCTCTTCAATATTTGCTTTCATAACGAAGGATTATTTAAAATACGTTTAGTCATTTAAGAGAAGGCACCAATTACTAAACAAATTTTAGAGATTCTATCTCTGGTCAATCTTGGAAGAACATCCAGGACATTTTTAATGACCTGAAAGGTACTACAGCACTGAGTAAACACTGGAACATTACTGAGCCCAGAAAGAGGGATCTGATAAAAACGACTTTTAAATTTATAAAGTCATCCAAGACTAGTTTTTTGGGCATTGAAGGAATTTTCAGTGGTTTGTGGTGAATAGTACCAGGTATTCAATGTTGCTAGGTTGGGATTCCTCCTTCACAGAAACCCAGGGATGTCTGAGAGTGACACATTGTGACATGACCTACCTGAAATACTTGCTTTGGATTAGAACGCCAATATTGATACACATATCATCTGACACATTATTTGAGAATGAGCAGAAAACAGTACCTCACAGAAGTATGCGCTCTCAATTACACCCTCCCAAAAAATCTGCAATTACCGTTCCTTTTTATGTGCTTAACGTTAGACACTCTGCTCATGACACATTCATTCACACACAAATTCACACACAGACTAAAGAAATAAAAAAAACTCCTAATCTTCACATTCTTTGAAACAAATTCAAGAAAGGCAAAATAAAACTATTTCACAATAACTCGTTCCATTGAAAACTTACAATAACTTAGAAAAAAAACAACAATTAAAATGGAAATATCATCACATTGTTGCCAAAAAATGAAGATAACAAAAACTAGCCATACTCATAAAGTTTCATATAACCACCAGCATCTCTTTAGGTTATTTATATCGTACTTTGTGGAGGAAGAAAGACATGTCAAGCTTGTGCCCCTGTACAGCATGACTTAGTGTCAAAGAGAACCTAAAACCAAACAAAACCCAAAGCAGAAAAACAAAAATTAGCCACTGAGCAACGTCCTGTCAGAGTTAATAGCAGCTATGTACCTCTCTGACTCCCTCTGCTGGACAGCACAGTGTGTTCTGGAATGTTTTTATATCTAAGCCACTTTATGGTTCACTTCTTTGATCCTTTCTGCTTCACGTCTTATTCTCGTACACTTTTCCCACTCCAATACACACACTAATCGCAGGACAGCAATGGGTTCTTTCTGAGACAGAAACACTACTAAGGACATACCCCACTTAACTTTGTTTAGTTAAGTTTTACAACGCGTTAACTTGTACAGGAAACATAAGTCTAGTGCTTATAACCGGTCTATATCATATCCTCTAAACACATAGCTCTTTAGCAGTAACTACGGGTCTGGCCCTCAGTTCGGATGGTCCAGTTGGGGCCCGGCAGGCTTCCCTGCCGGTTTAAGCCTCTCTGGTTGCGCAACCCGGGAGGTCGAAGCGAAGGATCCAGGACAACATCTCGTCGCGGTGTGTTGGGATACTGGGGAAGCACTGGCCCTGACTGGTATGGATACTGGTTAAACTGGTTGGCCACGGTCTGAGGCCCATATCCTCTTATCGATCCAAGCGCTAAGTTTGAGAAGGCCACTGTAGGTGGAGTGCATGTGTGGGAAGAGTCTGGGAGGCCTTGAGGGCCCCAATTGGGGTATGGGGGGTCCTGATAATATGGTCTTGGGGGATAAGGATTATGGGTTGTGCTTTGTCCCTGGGCGCTTGGGATAAAGTCTTGGCTTCTGTAAAACTTAACGACTTGGTCACCAGATGGCATGACGTCAAAAGCTTGTCTATACTGGCCTCCGGAAGATCTCCGCAAGGGGTCTTGACGTTGGAAAGGTCCTGATCCCACTCTAGGCGGCACGTGACCTTCAAAGCGCCCTCGAGAGGGTCCTGGAGTGTAGATATTATACGCAGGTGGAGGTTGTTGCTGCTGTTGGCTAGGGTAGGGATTTGGAGGGTGCTCAATGTGCGGAGAAGAGGATGGCACAGAAGGACCCTCCCTTTCATCCTCTGCAAGCTTTTCAATTAGCAAGGAGGCAATTTCCTTCCCAGTCAGGACATGAGCAGGCTCCGAGCTAGTACTTTGGGGATCTGAGCGACTGCGGAAATGCATGGCACTGGAGGCAGACGCTGCTATATTGGTCACTTTGGAATCTGAGGACACATCATTCTGGGCAGGGTTGTCAAAACCAGCCATGTGACTTTCTTGCTCTGAATGCTTCTGTTTGTCATCCGGTGGTGACTTGGAAGGTGGTTCCAGTGTCTCAGATGTTTGATGATCATTTTCGTCGAGGTCTGTGGTGGCCCAGCCCTTTGAATTAACCCCAGATCCTGGTGGGTTTGTGAAAGGGTAGTTGACGTAAATGTGTTCAGGCTGATCTTTTGAGATTCCTTGCACTGGTGAGACCTGAGACGGCTTTAATACAGCATGCTGATGCTGATTCAGTGGCAAGTCTTCCAGTCTGGAAGCCTCAAAGTACCGGTAACACACCTTCCCGTTTTCAAAGTAGGGGTGAAGCTGGGAGGCTGTGTGGTCTGCAGAAGGGGAACGCTGAGGGCGATGCAAGCTACATTGGTGCACAGACAGAGGCACCATGCCAGCAGCGGAGCCCACTCCAACGGATGCGGGTATGTGATGCACTTCACTGCGGGGCAACCTGACAGATGACGATGTCTGACGCTGGGGACGGGGATGGGGAGGATGTCCTGATGATCCATCCTGAGAGCGATGGTGAGAATGAGAATGGGAAAAGGAGAAAGAGTGAGAGTGTGCTGCGGCCCAAGCTCGTGTGGCCTCAGATGACCAAAGCTGGGGAGTCCTTCTGCCCCCAGGTCCTTGGTGGTTGTAGGGAGGAGGGTAACCCCTGGAAATAGGCCTTTGATTGGCTGGATCAGTGAGACGGAGGTTTCCCTCCAGATCCAACTTCATATTTTGATAGCTGTGGTGTGCATAGCTGGGTGGCACTTGTGGATGCTCAGGTGCACCAATTTCGTAGTAGAAGTTCTCCATCTTGGAAGGGTCTTCGGAGGAGGGGACAACCGGTCTGATTGGTGTGGACTGGGCCTGTTGCTGTTGTTGTGGAAGAACCTGAGCAGCTTGGCTGGCCATCCTGGCTGCATGATAGCGAGACAGCATGTCAGAGGTACTGCTGATTCGCTCAGAGAAAGCTCTGGAAAGTGGTGTGTTCCCTTGCGGTGGCCCTGCCAATCGTCGAATGCGACTGGCATCCAAGGAGCGACGTATGTAATCATGACGGTCAGTCTGAGAGAGTGGAGCCCTCAAGGGAGCAAGATCAGGGGGCTTGGGTGGCACTTTAGGGCGAGTGGGCTGGAAGGCTCGTACCTGGGCCAGTGGAGAGCTCTCTGATTTAGAATGCAGAAGCTGAGTGTGTGGTTGGGCTGCAGGCTTGGACTGGCCGCTGGATTTCTCCTGCTGAAGCTGCGGAGCAGAAAACTGTCGTCCATAAGCTGGAGGTTTTCTTTGAGAAGGGATGGCTTCACTGGAAGAGGGTGGGCTGGATTTTGAGGGCTGTGCTGGAGAGGTTGGTTCTTCGTTCTTGTAAATGGGGCTTGGTGTTCGCTCATTGTCTTCAGAGGAACTGGCAGCTGACAACTCAGAATTGGATGTCCCATTGTCAGAGACTGAGCTGTCAGAAGAGATAGTCCCAGTGTCTCGCCCAGGAGGTGACCTTGACTCTGTATCATGTGATTTGTCTGCAGGCTTTTCAGCAACAGTTCCACCCTCATCGTCATCACCTTCAGTCTTCCACACAGACAAGGGGCGTACTGTGGAATAAATCTGATTAGGATCAGAAGATAGCAGAGCACCTGCATCTGCAGAAAGGGACCTCTGGAAGCGGACATCTGTCTCAGGGGAGGTTCCACTTTGACGGGGGCGGTATGGGGGTGAGGCACCTTGCCGCAGTGCCTTGTTGGCACTTTCAGCAAGAGCCAGAGCCATGAGGCGTGCAGGGTTCTTGGGGGGAGGAGGAGGGGGCTGCTGTGATGGAAGGGGAACACCAGTGGGACCCAAGATACCTGAAAAAAGGTTTGAGAGTAAGGAATTAAGAAAAAAATTAGGCACTTGAAAAAATTAACTATTTTTGACATTAAACCAGAGGTTCCCAAACTTGCGGTACATGGAAAAATATATTTATGGTAGAAAGTTATTTCATTGCAAATGTATAGCAATCGAACAAAACCTGCATAATATGTTGGAAATTACTCAAAATTATCATGTTTTCTGACAGGGCAGTGGTGGTACTTGACAACAGTTATAGACAAGGGTGTCCAGTCTGAAAAGTTTGGGAACCAATGCATTAGGCCATAATCAGAGTGTGTACTCACTAGGACCCTTGATTTTGGCGACGGGGCCCAACTTACTGTTGAGCTCTTGCTGGCAGCTCTCCGTGAGCTGAAAATCACATGACCTCAGGAGCATAGATATCATCTGGGGTGGCTGAGGTGGTCCACTACTTGGAAGTCCAGGTTGCAATTCACCAGCTCGTCCACCAATCATTTCCAGAACCTTAAAATAGTTAAAATTATTTACTTGTAGTTCTCAGCACATTAAACAGGGATAGATTTTATTTTAAAGGTATTAGTCCAAATAATACCACATTATGTTTGTGCCCCTACAAAAAAAAAAAATCACCAAATATGTTACGCTCAAATTCACCTTGGCAGGTACACTGATGGCGATCGGATCAGAGATGTCCAGAGGGGGGGATTTAGGCGCTTTAGGTGAAAGTGCATGAACCACTTTACGTGTAAAGGAACGCCTCTCTTGAGGGGGCTGAGACAGGGGTGCAGAGGTTGCTGGAGCTGGCGTCTGGCTATGGGATGGGCTTAGGTTCGATTCGCCCTGCTGAGCTGTGTTTGTGGGAGCATTAGTGACTGCAGACGGCCTGTGCTGACAGAACACTTGCTGAGGTGGAGCTGCTGCAGCCAGGATCAAACTACGACGAGCTGCGGCCTCTGATTGATTGAGAACGGAGTCTGGATCTTCTGTTATTGAGCGCTGGCTACCAGTCCGGGTATGGGCTTGATGGCTCAGACAGCGGTAGGGAGGGGGTGCAGCCGCAGGAGGGGACTCCCTGCCGCTAGGATTGACAGCTGTGCTCCCCAACCCTATTGGCCCATCTTCCAGGAAGGTGGGGCTAAAGTCAATGACATCTTCTGCCATCCATGAGGCAGATGGTTCTTGGGAGAAATCAGGCAACATGTACACACCCTCCTCATCCTCATTTTCCTCCTCATCAGCATCACGGGTTTCCTCAGGCAGCAGGCTGTCGTAAGAGCGGCTTGGATGGATTCTAGATGGGGAGCGCTGGGGAAGGAGCTGCGGATCAACAGAGGCAGTCAGCGAGAGACCATCACTGCTGGAGCGAGGTCTTCGTAAGCGTTGTATCTTTCCCTGACCTGAGAAGAAAACAGCGCATCACACAAGACTCTTACTTTTCAATTATATAATTAAAAAAATGTCTATATTGAATTTTATTACATATACTAATGCTTAAAAGTTTGGAGTCAGATTTTTAAAAATATTTTAAAAAGTCTATTACTTACCAAGGCTGCATTTATTTGACCAATAACAGTACAATAAAGTATTATTGCAATTTAAAATAACTGTTTTCTATTTTAATATATTTTAAAATGTAATGTAATGGCAATGCTGAATTTTCAGCAGCAATTACTCCTGTTTTCAGTGTCACATGATCCTTCACATGATCATTCTAATATGCAAAAAATGTCTATATTGAATTTTATTACATATACTAATGCTTAAAAGTTTGGAGTCAGATTTTTAAAAATATTTTCAAAAGTCTATTACTTACCAAGGCTGCATTTATTTGACCAATAACAGTACAACAAAGTATTATTGCAATTTAAAATAACTGTTTTCTATTTTAATATATTTTAAAATGTAATGTAATGGCAATGCTGAATTTTCAGCAGCAATTACTCCTGTTTTCAGTGTCACATGATCCTTCACATGATCATTCTAATATGCTGATTTGATGCTAAAAAGAAACATTTCTTTTTATTAGCAATATTGAAAATAGTTGTGCAGTTTCAAAAATAGTTTTTGAGGTGGCAGGACTCTTTGATGAATGGAAAGTTCAATTGAAGAGCATTTGTGAAACAGAAATATTTACTGTCACTTTCAATCAATTTAATGCATCCTTCCTGAATAAAAATATATCTTTCTTTCAAAAGAAATCTTACTGACACCAAATCTTTGAACAGTATACATACACAATTTTATAACTGTACAATAATAGTGAAAAATTATTAGCTATATTTTTACACTTACCTTTTAAAAAGCATTTTTTCACATTTTAAAGTACCAATCTATTAGGTCTTAAATCTTATTACATTGCTCCCTGGTGTTACCAAATGTCATTCATACCTGCTCCACTGTGCTGAGATGACAGGGACTCTTCACTCTTTGCTGACCTGAGTGTCACACTGTCCACCCTGCAACCTAAAGCACACATACAGCACTAAAAACAGCCATTTTCACATCAGCATGCAGATCTATTTAGAATGAAGTACGGTCTAAAGAAATGGATGAGATATCTTTTATACCTGCATGAGAGGTAGCAGGCTGGAACAAAGAGGTGATCCTGGTGGGTTTGCGTCGCCCTGCCGCTGTAGGTTTCCCAATGGCAAAAAACGTCTTCCAGCTCCCACCTGCCGACTTCCGGACCTTCATCCCTCTTTTCCTCCTAAAAGAAACAAGAAGAAGAGAAAAATTAAATTTAGCACAAATGCTTTAATTTATATTTATAGTAATAGCTCATGAATCAAAACATCATGAATCAAAAGAATTTAATCGGTAGGTCAACTATTCCTTCAAAAGCCATTGATTTGTTCAAAGAAACCCACTTGTCAGCAGGCAGGTCCAGTACAGTGTGAAACTGGCTGATAGCGTGGTGAGGAGATCCCTGAAGGAGAAGTGGAGCTTGTGTGCGAGCCTGCGCCTCCTCTAAAGACAGAAGCCTGGTGGACACAAACGACTTGGGTCTGGTCAGAGACTGTCGTGCTGTGGAATCAGAAAGAGGCAAAAAAAAATAAAATAAAAAAAAATCAGATTCAGATCCATTAATCCAAAGCACAAAAGCGAGTAAATGCAATACTGCAGCGAAGAACACAGCAATTGACAACAAACAGGATTCAACATGATACATTGCAAACGGAAAGACACCTAAACATCAACAAAAAACATCAGCTCCTCCAAAGCTTCCGTAGTCCATACAGCTCTACTGCAAAAAGCTTCGTAGAAGAAATACATGGGCTGGCCAACAGACTGGAAGTTCACAAAAACATAAGTGGTTGAGGCCAGAAACGAACTCTACGCAAGTACACAAATGCACATGCTTTGCTGGTGCTTACTCAGATTTAACATGCACAATTTGCAATACTTAGTCAAGTCAGGTAATGCACCTTTTAGTGCCTCTTTTAGCAATGTTGAGAATTCAGTGCGTAATAATACATGCATTATGATTTGTAATTGAGCTTGCATATCTAGGAACGCTTGTACTTTGTACTTGCGTAGAGCTTTTTTTGAGCCTCAGCAAGCCTGTAAAGTCTGGGACATCAGACGAGTAGAGAAATAAATCGAATAAAAAGCCTGCAAAAGTATAACGTTTTTGCATTTTGAGAAAGATTGTAACACTTGTGCATAACATTTAAAAGCTGTTTGCTCAAGAGCAATATTTGGGGTTAATTTGTAAAAGAAACCTATGATTAACACGAAAACATAAGCTGACATACAGAAAAAAAAACTAAAAGACACTTTACCTGCTGTTAATGTCTCAGAGTCGAGTCCGCAAACAGACACTATAGCTCAAATTTTTACTTTAACATTCATCCCATTTACCCATGTTACCTAATGATTTTCCTCAATGTCCTACTTAATGAAATCAAATTTATATAGATGAAAAGATCAATTAATAGGAACCATAAACATTTTGCCTAATATTAATACTTTCTCACACAAAAAAAGTAATAAAAAGATTAAAAGAGATTAATAAATGTCAACAAAAGGATTTATTGCCTTATATATTATCCATCTGTGTGCTGTACAGTTCTAACATGGCATTTACATAGGCAAAAGATGTCTTTATAGCTGTCCTCGACAAAAACAGCTCTCAAAATAGTCCATCCATATGGAAAATGACATAGCTAAATGGCATATAAAGCAAATGGTTATAAAATTTGGGCTTGGTAAGCTTAATGAAATCAAATTTATATAGATGAAAAGATCAATTAATAGGAACCATAAACATTTTGCCTAATATTAATACTTTCTCACACAAAAAAAGTAATAAAAAGATTAAAAGAGATTAATAAATGTCAACAAAAGGATTTATTGCCTTATATATTATCCATCTGTGTGCTGTACAGTTCTAACATGGCGTTTACATAGGCAAAAGATGTCTTTATAGCTGTCCTCGACAAAAACAGCTCTCAAAATAGTCCATCCATGTCGAAAATGACATAGTTAAATGGCATATAAAGCAAATGGTTATAAAATTTGGGCTTGGTAAGATTTTTGAAAGAACTCTTGTTCACCAAGACTGCATTTATTGGATCAAATATACAGTACAAACAGTGCAACTGTGAAATATTATTTCTATTTTAGTACATTTTAAAATATAATTTATTCCTGTGATGCAAAGCTGAATTTTCAGCATCATTATTCCAGTCTCCAGTGTCACATGATCCTTCAGAAATCATTCTAACATGCTGATTTACAGCTCAATAAACATTTCGTATTATCATCAATGTTGAAAAAAAGTTGTGCTGCTTAAAATTTTGGTGGAAACTTTTTTTTAGAAAGTAAAAAAAACCAGCATTTATATGACATGGTAATCTTATGTAATATAAATTATAAATGTTTCAGCATCATTATTCCAGTCTCCAGTGTCACATGATCCTTCAGAAATCATTCTAACATGCTGATTTACAGCTCAATAAACATTTCGTATTATCATCAATGTTGAAAAAAAGTTGTGCTGCTTAAAATTTGTGGAAACTTTTTTTTAGAAAGTTAAAAAAAACAGCATTTATATGACATGGTAATCTTATGTAATATAAATTATAAATGTCTTTGCCATCACTTTTGATCACTTTAGTGTGTCCTTGCATAAAAGTATTAATTTCTTCCACAAAAAAAATCTTACTGAGTCCACACTCTTGTGTAAACATCCATCCATCCATTCACAAACATGTGAACATTGATGGTATCTTTTTGATCCCTGCTAAAAAAAAAAAAAAGATTTGCATGGTTTCTAGCAGGTCAATTATGGTCATTAGCTGGTTTAGATGGTTGAAATAGCTGGTCAAACAACTGATGAACCTGATTTTGACCTGGTAGACCTTGGAATAGCAACAAACCAGATACCATATTCCAAGCTGAGCCATTCACACAGGACAGACCTGAGTTTTTTAATGGATGTCTATGTAAGTCTTACTGATTTTTCAAAAACAATACATGGGAGTTTTTAACTCAGCAGTATGTACTGTCTGTATGGCCCCTTAAGCTGGCTTGGCCAGGTTTTTCCTGGTAGAACAGATTGTGATTTGAGAGACCACTGTAGAGGGTCAGTCTGGATCTCATATCATGGAGAAGCGTCGTAGCTCTGGGTCCAGATAAGAGGGGTCAGTCAAACAGGACTCCCCCCTTGCCTCCCGAAGACTAACCAGGCGTGTTCGGGGCTGGCGTGAGATCTTGTGCTCCGCCCCTCTTGTCACTATGGAAACACACAGCTCGCTCTCAGTAAGCCTCACTTACACATGGGTGAGGCCATTGTAAACATGTTCCACTGTGCTGTGTTAGCCAAGCTCATCACAAGAGACTAACTTATGAAAATAACTGGGCTGGGAGACATATTAAATATTTATAATTTATTTCCAATAATTTTAAAGGAAATTAATTTAACCTCACCTCCATCGTATTGCAATTAGCAATATTATAGAGATTTTAATAGGGTTTCTAAATGTAAAACTCACTAAATTGCCACAACGTTTGGAAGTGTTTTGATCATTCATTAAAAAAAAAAAAAACAGATTTGGAGTTAAAAATATTCACAGAAGTCCCCAAGTGGCATTTTACATAACTTAAAATGCTTTAATAAAACATATTCAAGTAAATATTACTGTAAGTATGCATACTCCATATTGGTGGATTCAAATAAAAATGATTAACTGTTCATTTTTTGGTTAATTTTGTGCAAAACTGTGGAAAACATGCCTTGATCATTTTAACTAGATTCTTTTATTTTTTTTAACTAGATTTTTTCCCCTTTATTTTTTATTTAAACAGTATTAATTTACAGGTGCATCTCAATAACTTTTCCACGACATTCTAATTTATTGAGATGCACCTGTACATGGCAGCAGTGCCAATTTGGCTGAAATGATTCTTCATTATGCATAAAACATGACTATTTTAAAAACATTTTTTTATTTTCATTTTCATATACTGTTGCTCAAAAGTTATAACAGTGAATAACAGTATAAAAAAAATAAAAAATAATTCACACTGATCCAGAACTTCTGAAAAGTAGTGTAAATATCAAGAAAAATATAATTAAAATGCAAAATATTATAATATCATTGCAAAATAGTGCAATAATTTAACTACATCGCCCAGCCCTAATATATTAAATTTGTTGATTATTATAGGTATTTCAAGTTGTGTCATAAGGGATGAAAAAGAAAAGAGAGGAGTGCACAGGCCTTGTTGTAGGAGTCACGTATCACTGTTAAATATGAAAACAAGAATAGCTGCAACTCAGAAGGGAAGAAAACACTGGAGAAATTAAGGTCCGAAAGTTGCATCAGAGCATCAAGTTATTAAACGCATTCTCTGTTCTACTGTACCGGTTTACCAGACAGCTCTGTTCCAAAACATTGTGTATTGTCTGCATAAGCAGCATCCTTACTAAAAGTTTGTCACTGAGCTTGTCACATTACGGAATTGGTTTCTTCTTGAAGGATACAACATTGTTGCCAAAAGAAAGTACTGTATCTTTGAAGGCAGCATAATTAAAATGCCTACTTTTTGGCTATGATGCATTACAATACTGCTCAAGTAAGCAGCTCACTAGATTTTGGAACAAAACCAACATCACTGACTGTTTAATGAAAGTGCTGTTTGAAGACACCGGACTGAATGGGTGGTTTACTGATGAATGCGAACATCTATAGAGAGACAGATTTGTTGGTTCAACATACCTGCACTAAAACGGCCAACAGAAGTGAAGGAGTCACTGAACAGTACTTCCACATTGCCGAGCAGAAACTCCACGACCACGGACTGGATGCGCACTTCTTTAAATGGATCAGCACCGCTTAAGCCCACTACTTCAATTTCTTTGGATCTGAAACAAAACAACAGCAGATTCTGCTTCATAATCATGTGTTTTAATTTGAACCCTGAGCCTGTACTAGTAAAACCCACAACACAAATGCTTAAGCTGCAGTGAGAACATCAATGATGACAGAATGTAAATCTCATACAAGTGTTTTCAGCAGTAAAAAATACTGATATTTTGGATTCTTGATAATCAATGATCATTCATATCACTTTTTCTGATATGATCAAAAAGTGAAAATTCTGTTATCATTTCCTCACCGTCCAGTTGTTCCAAACCTGTATGAGTTTCGTCCATCTGCTGAGCACAAAAGAAGATATTTTAAAGAATCTTAGTTACCAAACAGTTAACTGTAGTCATTGACTTCCATAATATGGAAAAAACTCAATGGCTACCATCAACTGATTGGTTACCAACGTTCTTCAAAATATCTTCTTTTGGAACAACTTGAGGGTGATTAAATGATGACAGAATGTTCATCTATGGGTGAACTATCCCTTTACCTGTCTCCAATATCAACCTAAGCAGGCTGATGATGATATATAAAAAATAAAATGTACAAAATAAATGAAAATATACACCTTAATATTGTGGACATTGGCTGAAATGGATATTATCACCACATTGAGCGTCACTAATATTTATGTAGTTAAAATTCCATGTTCGGGGTTACCTGAGCAGGTTGGGGGCCCAGACAATGGCCAGATTCTTAATGTGCATGCTCGTCTCTCCACTGCAGGTGGCCAAATGGGCCAGGTGTCTGATGAGGTACTCCAAAGTGCTGAGACAAACACAAAGATATCACTTATTGCCAGAAAACACTGCTCTTTCTGTCACACTTTCAATGACAGATGACGCTACTTGTGATGCATGAGTAGTAAGTATTGGGGTTACCGGTAGTGAGGAGGAGGAAGTTGCTGGATAACATCATGTACTTTCACCATTCTTTCTTCCTCTGTCATCTCTCCCATACATTCCTGGACAGACAGGAAAATACAGCTTGCTTAGTAACATGAGTAATTTGATCAAAATTACAGTAAAAACAGTAATATTGAGAAATATTATTAACATTTAAAATAGCTGTTTTCTATTTGAATATATTTTAAAATGTAATTTATTCCTGTGATGCGAAGCTGAATTTTCAGCATCATTTCTCCAGTCTTCAGTGTCACATGATCCTTCGGAAATCATTCTAATATGCAAATTTGCTATTAAACAAACATTTATTATGATTATCAATGTTGAAAATAGATGTGCTGCTTAATCTTTTTGTGAAATCTATGATACACACTGACACAAAAAATATCTTCTAACATGAACAAAAACAACAGAACACACAATGTAAATACATTTTTTTTTTAAAGTCAGGAAAGGATTTACGATACTATGATATTACCATGGTTAAAAAATAGTTCTGAAATCCTAATTTTGCAGAAGGTTTAAACATAACTTATGCTAGAGCCAGAATTACTTACAGCAAACTTGTCGTAGAGTTGGTACGTGAGCAGAGGATTGGGCAGCTCTCTGAAGTAGAGTTTGCACAGCGAGCCGACGCAGTGAATATCCTGCATGTACACATCTTTCGTCAGGTCTGGAACATTTTCACTGTCAAACTCATGCCTGATCAGGATGAGAACAGAATTCATGGTCATGCATATAAAGAGCATAAATGTACATAAATTATCATTTTAAGTGTGCACAGAATAAAGGAGTGATCCGTGAAAACCTTTATATAAACTTGAAGGAAGTACATTGTTTAAAATCCTGAAAAGTAAATCAGGGCAGGATTTTTGGACACACCTGAGTTTCTGTATGTTGGAGGACACACCAGAGTGTCTGTAGATGCCATCCACCACACCATGCTTCTCTATGAACTCTGAGCAGCTCTTTAGTACCTGTGGCACTGAAGTTTGATCACACAAATATCACAAAATTAGACCTTCTGCAATGTTCCCATCTTAAAGCACATTAAGAAAATACTCTGTTTCTTTACCGTCTTGGCCAGAGTTGAGGAGATGCTCGCCGAGGTCACAGCCGAACACCCGTTCTTTCAGGATTCCCCTCTGCTTTAGCTTTTGTTTGGTGGGTCTGGACTTCATAAAGGTGCGCAGGAAGCCCATCAGCTTGCCGTGTTTCTTAGACACTGCCAAAAGGGGGCAACAGAGAGCTACTCAGGCAAATTACAATATGGACTGCACACTTTCACACACCACATATTGTTTACTGCTCCCTACACACTCAGCAGGGAATATCTGAAAAATACACAAAATGTGACAAAATGTGTTCATTTGGAATACCTGCAAACACAGACAACACCTGACGTACACACAGATGGGGGTTTAAGTATATAATAATAACCTAATATAAAATTATATATATATATATATATCCATTTTATGCAAAATATACATTATTACATTTAAATTAATATAAAACATTATACTTAAAACCCCATAAACATTTAGTTATGACGTTTTCGACATTTAATATGTAAATAAATGGGATTATAAATCTCTAAACGGCTTAGTAACAAATCCTAAACGGCTTAGTAACAACTCCTGAGGTATATTAGGCTGAAAAATGCTACACAAATGCAACAAATTTCATATGGTGGCTGACTGGCCTCATACACTCCCTATTCGAAACAATCTCATTAAAAATGATCTGAAGCGTGCAAACTTTGCAGAGCACTAACAGGTGACTTGAACGTACAATTGAATTCTCCATATGAGCACTCTGACCCATTAAGAGAAGAAAACCACACCAAAAACATCTAAAAAGCCAATCAGTAAGCTCTAATCTATGAAGTTTACAACTCCTGCAGGTTGTGTTCCATTTGAGCAGATCGGCCATAGGTCTAAAAAACATGTTACTCTGAGTAGGTGATATAGCTATTGATCAGTGGTTCTCAACCTTTTTTAAATCATATTTCAAAGCTGCTCACTTTCCAACTTTTTTATTTATTTAGAGAAACTAGGAGTGGTAATATTAACATAAACAATTATAAATAACTAAATAATAAAATTCTGTCATTTTAAGAACAATGTTCTTTAAATTAGGGTTTACACTTTTTGTTGCCTATGAATTTATATGAGTTTTCTAGTTTGTGATTACAGGGTTTTGACAATTATTTTTTACTCACAAATTGCAATTTACACTCAATACAATTTTTAATTGACAAAACTGACTTCCAGGTCTAGAAATCAAACTTATATTCAGGTTTTAAAACCCCGGTTCTTAAACAAAAACGTAAGGAACTTCTTAAAGAAATATGATTTTGCTGACATTTTCATTTTTAGCAGTTTTAATCTATGTTTTGTCTTATTTTAAATCATTTTAATCCGCCTCGCGTCCCCTTGGAAGTGTGCTGAAGTCCCCTAGTGAGTCCTGACCCCATGGTTGAGAACCACTGCTATAGATACCCCAGGGTCAATGACCTGGATGAAACAAATGTAGGTTAACAGTTAAACAGGTTAAATGAGGGCCCTTCAAAGCCCGTAGTGTAGACATCAACATGTCGGTTATGCAAGTCATTAATGCAGTCTAACAAGCAGCACTTTTAGAAATGAACATCACCGTGGCTTAACCAGACGTGATCAAGACATCTCCTGAAAGTTCTGTGATAAGCGAAACTAGATTTAGACATTCCTTTCCACTGCCTTTGTCTAGTCATTTCCACTGTTTGTTGTTGGAATCTTGTCGCATAGTGTCTGGTTAGGACACACAGTGTTAAAACGTTCAATATAACATGGATCAGGCACAACAAAAATCAATCCCCACAGCCTACTAACAGATTCTCATTTATACAACAAGAGGCCTGTAATTCTTCAGCAGATGCTACAGAATGATGCCCACATGAGCACTTGAATGAATTATACAACATTTTTGCTGTGTCTCCAACCTCCAACACCCAAGCTCATCCTCTCCGAACCTCCCACACTCTCTCTGCCTGCTGTATAAACAACCACAATCCGTGTTACAAATGCTTGTCTCAAAGGATAGAAGGCGTTAGAAAAAGGCGGATACAGAAATGTTAGTTTAGGTAAACCCTTTGAAGTTGTTACCAGCCAGGCTTAAGAACCAAGGATGAAGAACTGAGAGAAAAAGATGGGGAACACAATCGACAGAAACATCAAATGCATCTAATACATTTACCATTAAATGCTGCTGTCATGTTTAGCAGACTAAACAACAACCTTAAAATCTTAAATACAAATTTGTTTTGACTACAGTGCCTTTCAAGGCCATAAAAATAAGCTTGAAAACAGCAGCCATGCTAATATCATCTGCACTAGAACATCAAGTAACCAAAGCATGTGTTCTTAAGAAAAAACTATTAGGGCTGGGCTATATATCAGCTATTCATGATTAGTGGTTGACCGATGTAGGTTTTTCAAGAATTGGTGCAAATAGTTTGGGGCCAGCAATATATGTAATTTTTAAAGAAACATTTATTTAGCAGGAAATTAGAATGATTTTTGAAGTATCATGTGACACTGAAGACTAGAGTAATGATGTTGAAAAGAAATAAACTACACTTGAATATATTCAAATAAAAACAGTTATTTTAAATTGTAATATTTCATTACTATTTTATGCTTGATTCTGATTGGTTGGCAATATTTTTCAGTAAATGCACAGCTAAAGTAGTTTTAGTAGTTTCTTGACCGCAGTACAGTTCAATATGGACACTGTATACTTAACCAAATTATTTTAGTTATTTCAAAGACACTTGCAGCCTACCACAGCGAAAGAACTAAAAACCACAAAGGCATTGAAATAAATATGACAATTTCCTTTATTATCTATGGAATGCATGCGCTATCTCTGCTCTCACTCTCTTTTATGCACACACTTGCAGTCACTCACTTGCACACACTCACTTGCACAAAACTTGTGACTTGATAAAACAGTTTCACTATTTAAGAGCTGTGGACATTTCTCAGTAGCGGTGGTAGCATCATTATTTTTGAAGTAGTTAAATGTTAGTATAGGCGTTGCTGCCGAATGCAGCAGACAGCCACACACACATTCAAAAATGTCTTGAAATAAAACACCTGAAATGTCTTGTGGTGCATTAACAGTGTTATATAAGCGGAGTAACTGACTCCAGACTGTGAATTATACAAAAATATAGCACATCCAAGGTGGTAATGCAGTTACAACGCGGTATTTAGTATTTAAACATGGCCCTGAAATGAAATCTATTTTCTAAATGCATTTTACAGATCTTATTCTGAACGATTCTTATATGACTAAGTTTCTTTTTTTTTAAATGTTTTGAAATCGTACTGTTTAATTAAATTGCCATAACTTGATCTTGCAGGGAAATTACAGACTTTTTCTTATGATGTATGTAGGACTTCAATCAGCTAATCTGCTTAAACCTGCTCCTGCAAGGTTGCCCTTATCTGGTTCCACATTTAAGTACAATCTAATCAACAACTGAAGCACAGAATCACATCCCTGTCCTACATTTTTTTTCTTTTTCGATATACTGCTACACTCGGCTGTGTCACAATAGAGAAGAAAAGATCTGACTGTGGTTTCATTGTGACTTTAAAGTGCCCCTATTATGCCATTTCCAATATTGCCTTTCATGCAGTGTGCAACGTAACTGTATGTGAATGTAAACAATCTGCAAAGTTGTAAAGCTGAAAGTGCACGATAAATAAAGTTACTGTCTCCCAAAATAAAGAATCGACTCTGAACAGCTGAAACGAGTCGTTAGTAATTCGAATCCCACTTCCGTGACGGCTACACGTCACGGGGTAACACATTTGCATAATGCGCGCCTATGTTCTACGTTGGCCGGC